AAGACAGAATAATTGGTTGAAAAGTGATCAATCTTATTAGACACTCATGAAATCATGCAAGTATATTAGCATTAGGGTCATCCACCTGTTTAGCAACTCCCAAGGACCGAAGGCCACGGTCAGCAAAGCTGCCAATGACATCATGCGCTTTTTTCTTCAAGTCTCCAGTGAGCCCGCAAAGCTCAATGATGGTGCCAACCAACATTAGATTTTGGATTGAGAAGCCACATTTATGTCACTAGTGATTACTTGGAGATTCAAAATGAACTACCATGGCAGTTCAGTTGATGTAGTATCTTACTTGCTCAGAAGCACCCTTGCTGCAACAATGCCACTCACCATTGCTGTCAATAACTCATTCAATAACTCTATTATTCTAGCCTGTATGATCGAAATGTGGGCTGTATCAGATACCTCTTTGGGGTCACCCAACATCCCTACAATTGAAGCATCAATGGCATCCTGGTTTTCAACCCTGGAAGCCCTTGTGTCACGGACATAAGGGGGAGTCCTGAATCCCACATCGAACATAATAGGAAGGTCACTGGGGTATAAAAGGGTTCACACCATCTCCGTCTTATGAGGCACCTTTTGTAGGACAAAACCGTGAGGCTAAGGGGGCCGGAGCGGACAATACCTCACAAGGGTGTAAACCATGGCGGTCAGGCTGATTCGGGACGCCGGAAGGATGAATGTCCGGGTCCCGGAGCCGCGCGGGTTCGAAGCTTAAGTCTCGACCTGTGACAAGTGGTATCAGAGCCAGCCCTAAACCGTTCGATCCACGCCAAGCACCTCAAGGGAGGCAGGCAGGGTGGTCAGCCTCCGTGACGAGGGCGAGGGCGTCACGAGGTTGGGTGCGGGAGAATATCACGGACTTAAGGGGGAGTCATGAATCCCACATCGAACATAATAGGAGGGTCACTGGGTATAAAAGGGTTCACACCATCTCCCTCTTATGAGACGCCTTTTGTAGGACAAAATCGTGAGGCTAAGGGGGCTGAAGCGGACAATACCTTACAAGGGTGTGAACCATGACGGTCAGGCTGATTCGGGACGCCGGAAGGATGAATGTCCGGGTCCCGGAGCCGCACGGGTTCGGAGCTTAAGTCTCGACCTGTGACAAGTGGTATCAGAGCCAGCCCTAAACCGTTCGATCCACGCCAAGCACCTCAAGGGAGAGGGTGGTCAGCCTCCGTGACGAGGGCGAGGGCGTCACGAGGTTAGGTGCGAAAGAATGTCACGGACCTAAGGGGGAGTCGTCACGAGGTTGGGTGCGAGAAAATATCACGGACCTAAGGGGGAGTCCTGAATCCCACATCGAACATAATAGGAGGGTCACTGGGGTATAAAAGGGTTCACACCATCTCTGTCTTATGAGGCACCTTTTGTAGGACAAAACCGTGAGGCTAAGGGGGCCGGAGCGGACAATACCTCACAAGGGTGTGAACCATAGCGGTCAGGCTGATTCGGGACGCCGGAAGGATGAATGTCCGGGTCCCGGAGCCACGCGGGTTCGGAGCTTAAGTCTCGACCCATGACACTTGCAGCAAGCAGCACAAGGGTGTCGTTGTCCATACCACTTATGAACACCTGTAGATATAAATATACTCATAAATAAATACCAAGTTTATGCCCGTGAAACAATGCAAAAGTGCTCATAACCAACCTCAATGAGACTCTTGTCTACTGTTAGCTTGTTGAGGGTGAGAGTCCCAGTCTTATCTCTGCACAGAACATCCATCCCTGCCATTTCTTCAATGGCAGTCATCCTCTTGGTGATGGCTCCTTGCTGCAACAAGCGGTGAGAGCCAATAGCCATTGTCACAGACAATTGGGATACCTCCAATAAGAAGCACCAACAGGTTGTCAATACCATCTCTGTACCTCCTGTGCTGGATTGTGTACATAACTATGATCTCAATGATTATTCCCACAGCAATTGAGCAGATACAGGAAGTTACCAATGGCTGTCAACACCTGTGCCATTAAGGAACATGAAGCAGTAGGTTATTACATAATATAAACATGATCATTTTGTGCTATCATATTGAAACAAACACAATTACAGTACCTTTTGGAAGTGACCAACATTGTTGGTGCTGTCAACAAGGTGAGCAGCCTTGCCAAAGAAGGTATGGACACCAGTGGCAATGACAACGGCCTCAATCTCATCTTGTTTGCAGGTGGATCCAGAGAAGACCTCATCAACTGGATTCTTGGTAACAGGCAGGGATTCACCAGTGAGAGCAGATGGATCAATCATGAGTGCATCACCCTCCAAGCGACAAGCATCCGTGGGAATGATGTCTCCCAATTTGACAATAATTACATCTCCTGGTGCCAAAATTGCTGCATCTTGTCCACCCCATTTTCCATCTTTCAACACCTACAAAGTGAACCATGATGTTGATAGAACCTGGAAAAGGGACTCCAAAGAAGCAATGAACATGTACGAAAATGAACAAACAAGTATACCTTAGTTTTGGGTGCAAGACCAGCCATCAAAGCAGCTGCTGCATTGCCAGCGTTGTTTTCCTCAACGAAACTGATGGTTGAGTTAATGATAAGCAAAGCAACAATACCAACGAAGTCTTGCCAGTCTGGAGGCTTGCCTCCTTCATTGGCCAAAACAATGGCCATGATAGCAGCAGCCTACATCACCCACGACAGAGGATTCCACATAAAGCCCAAGAACTTAAGAAATTGTTCTCTTTTTTCTCTTAGAGCTTTTTATGGCCAAAGATGTGGTCCTTCTGCTGTTGTCAAACCTTCTCTCGTACATTTCAGCTGCTCAAAAACCTCCTCCATAGGGATTCGCTCGTATATAAACACACACAGAACACGGTACTTCTAGTTTTTATTTTTAATTTTCAACATATTTAGGAACAAAAAGCACCAAGAACCAACAGAAATGGAAAGCTAACAGGGAAAAAAAATTTTCAAATGCTTACAAGATCAATAGTCTCGTTCTTGATCTGCTCCAAAGAAATGTCATCGTCGGAAGACATGGCTACGGACAATCCAAATGAAGTAACAAACCCGTACTTTGTTTAAAAGAAAAAGGAAGAAACTCTTGATCACAGGAGTTGATCTTTGAGCTCCTTCTTCCTTCGGTTTTTGTGCTAGCTGCCCCTCAGGCTATCCCGTCCTCCATAAGACCTGGATGGTGCGGTGCCGAGACAGAGGAAAATGAAAGAGAAGAGGAGATTAGTTGTTCTGTTCTTGAAAGAGACAGCAATCTTTTGGCTTGAGATGTATTGTTTCTATAACCAACTTTTGAAAGAAAATGAGAGGAAGACAGTAACGACATTGAATTCGAGCTGGTTTCTTCGGATCTCCGTGGCTTGCCACAAGTCCCAGTCTTTTAGTTGCAGTTAACTGTTTCATTAGATCATCTGACAGCCTTTATATTACAGTATTGACTTGTCCGTACTCTTTTGTAAAAGGTTTTCTTTGGTTTGTGTCAAAAACAAGTGCCACCCGCCCAAATTCTCATTTTTTTTTTTCCCTTTTGAGAGGATAACATCTCATTTTAGGACAAACTTATCAGTTCAACTCGAGACAGATGCCGCATTGCTCATCCAGAAACCGATACCATTAAGCCTTAAAAGATCATACCACATGACCCTAATCCTTCATTGTCCACAGAAGCTAAGCTTCAGGAAATATAACGATGCTTTGAACTAACTAACTGATTCAATAAATTACTTTTAATTTATAAGTTCAATCTGATACTTAAAACCACTATGTCCTAACACACACGTTAACAAGTTTTCTAACCATCTCATTTTTAACCCACCAGCTATCAATCATGAGCATCATGCAAAATCTAATGAAAATCGAATGAATTCGACTGATTCAATTCAATTTATTTAATTTTGATTATAATCAAATTTTTAGATCGATTAAATTAATTAATTCAATTGATTTTTAATTTTTAAAATTGATAATCGATCAAATCAAATTAATCAATTTTTTAATAAATAAAAATAAAAAATGAAGATAAATATTTTTTTAATAAAATATTATTAAAATTATTAAATTTTTTAATGATTTAATTTGAATGATATTTAAATTTAAATTTTATTAAATTAAATTTATAATTAAATAATTATTTATAATAAAAAAATAAAAAAATTGATAATTTAATCGAATTGATCAAACCGAACCGATTTTAATCAATTCAATTATAATCGTTATTTAAAAATTTTCGAATAGTTTGATTATTTGTTAAATAAAAATTGATTAAATCAATTATTGATTTTTTCAAATCAATCCAACCGAACCTGATCAATTACTCACCCCTAATGATTATTACTCCTAATGATTATTACTTGCAATGTCATCTACCTCTCTAGGTCCAATTCATTACTTATCCAAGTTTACAAACTCTCCATTCCCCCGGCAAATACCACCATAAACTGTTATTCACTGACTTCATTTGCACAATTGACTTCTACGAGAGATCTGGACTCATGTCCTGCAGCCTCATAAAATGCAAACCTCCCTAATCAAAGATAAATAGTTCCCTCAAAAGGATACTCCATTTCAAGCTACTTAAGTGCTCTCGTCTAGAAACAACATAGCATTTGCCCTTCCAAACAAACTTCATGATAATCTTAAATAGAAAAGCCAGTAATGCACACCAGAAATCAACATTTCTCTTCCTATTCTAAACCAATTTCCTAATCTTTATATTGTCTCTGATAGTCAGTCTTGGCCATAAGTTTTTTCACTAGCACATGAGCACACTGCTCTCCAGAATTGAATGCATCAAGGCATGTCACTCAAAAATCTGGCTTAAACAATATCATTATTACCTAAGAATTTCAAGTTCATTAATTCATGATACCGCAAAGGTTCAGCTTTAAATAAACTCAAAAAAAGTCACTCTCAAGCACAATAGAGATCATCCAGGTGAGAATAGCTTAACATATCAAGATGAGTTAAAGCAAACAACATAGCCGAATTCAACACCTAACACTCAAATGAAGATGAGATAATAAGGAACTAAAAGTTTAATATAAAATCAAATATTAGCTAAAACAAAGTTGCAACTATGACCGGAAATACTACCAACAATCTCATCAAAATCTCTAATAAAAGAAACCCTCAGTAGTTCTCAATGTTAAATCCCACAACAAAATGTCTGCAAATAAACTTAGAAAAATAAAAACAAAGCTTGAAACCAAATAGGCCCATCGAGCTTAGAACCCTAGCTTGGTGCGGCGCCAGTGCCGACGTTTTGCATTGTACCTGCAACCCAAAAACAAAAATTGGAAAAAACCCATCAATAAATGCTTTAAAAAAACCTTAAAAATGAAACAAAAACAAAAACTTATAAACATATTTAAGCAAAAAAAAATGGAGAACATATTGACCGGATGGTGTTGTCGGTGCGCATGCGGATCCAGTAAGGAATTGGCCTGTTCTGCCTCATCTTCTTGGCCAGCTTCTTCTTGATCTTCAAGCTCTTGTGTGAAGGCTGCCATGTCAAGATAAACCATTCAAAATATCATAGAACTACCTTTCAAAACTCAACTTTGTTTACATATAAACAGAGATAGCCAACCATTTTTGCAGAAGGAAAATGAAAAAGAACTAAAGCAAGTCAAGCTAGAAACCAATGCCTCAACTATTATCTATGGAAGAAGGGAAAGAAAGGAGGAAGATTACCATTTTTGGCTGTTGGGAGGAGATCCGGCGCTAGGGTCTTGAAGCTGCGGAGTACAAGCTTTGAAGCCGGTAAGCGCTCAAACCTAATAAATCTGTGCTGAAGTGTGATTGTAGGGTTTACTTTGTTGGGCCTTTAGTGGACTATGAATTCAAAAATGTGGACTATTTGTAGGTGATATTCGGCCCAAAACTTGCCCTTGTTGTGATCCATGTGGATCGCTTCTATTCATTGTCTGGGCCTCCTCCAATTAATAGTATATGATTTCTTTATTATTATTATTAATGAACCTTTTCATTCACAAATAACAAGTAAGGTTATTATGTCGTATATATTGAATATTATATAGAGTTATAAAATGGGATTAAATTTTTTTAATTTAATTTGTTTTTGTTAACGTTTGTATTTTTTTTCATTTATTGCTTATACCATATAATGTAAACAAGAAAGAATCTTAAATTATTGATGCTTAACAATCTTAAAGTAAGAACAAATCCATCATAGTTTTATTTTTCATTTTTCTTCATATCATACTCTTATTGATAACTTTATTTTATTTATACATGTAATTAATATAAATCATATCATGTCCTCTAAATCCAATCTTTTTCATTTCAAAATTCGATTGAAAATTTTTCAAATTAAAATCTCATATTTTAACTGTGATATGTTAAGATATATTAATAAAGTGAAGTGCAAAACGTGTTTGTTTATGAAACAAACGTAAGAGGCTTTAAACTATCGAGTTATTAATTTGTATGGTTTTCAACTTCAAAAACCCATTTTAGTTAGGAACCTTAATGGATCAATGGTTACCTTTGGAAATCATATTTTTGGATTCCCTTACTTTTTATGATTATCCACTTTTCAAAATTTAAATTATTTCTTTTAAATGTTATTCTTTTTTTTTTTTTAAGAATTCAAAAAATTTTGTTGTTAATATGATAAACAAAATGTCAATTTCGATTAAATTTGTACATTTTAACTTGCACATGTATGATTGAGTTTTTATATTTTAGAAGATGACGTGTAATAAAATCTCTATGCATTAATTCTTACTATCAAAATGATGCAAATTACCTCAAGAGATTGATTTAATTTATATCTCAAATTGCATTACTCTTTTTTTATTATCATATTTATAATAATTTTTTATAATTATAATATTTCATTACTTGTGATTTTAAAACATTTTTAGACTATGATAAGTTTGTTATATTGTATAACCTTACAATTATTGTTATATCAATGATTTTTAATCAAGTAAAATAGATAAATATTTTACAAATATGCAATGATAGATTTTTTTGCCATTGCATCTCGTAAACCTTAAAAATATGTTTATTCATATTCAATTATTCATCAAAATTAATTACTCAAAATTTATAAAAATCTTTTATATTAGAAAAAATATGTGAAACTTACTTGAAAAAATAGATAGCTTTAAAAAAATTACAATAAGATTGTAATGTGGTTAGGTTTTTTTATTAGATTTTTAGTATTTATAAAAAGATAAATACAATAGTTTTTTTATAAAAATAAAGTTTTTTCAACTTTCATTTCCTTAGCTTTTTCTTTAATTTGGAGTATTAAAAAAATGAATATTACACGAAAAATCAAAATTTATTGAGTTTTCATCCATTTTTTTAAAATTAAAAATTTATTTAAATAAAAAAATATTTTTCTACTTCAATTACTTTTTTTATTTTTTTCCCCTTATTTCAATCCAAACATAGTATTAGAGTTTAGTTGGGCCTTTTAGCCATCGTTTATACCAAAAAAGATGAAGATGAAGAAGAAGAAGAATTAACGAAGGAATGGATTTTACACCCAATGGGCCTAGCAGTCTACAATAGATTCCAATGCGGATTAAAGATTACAACCCATCGTAATTCGTCGTGATCCTTGTAGCACACGCCCTCCATGCGCGGATGTTCGCGTCGATGAACCAAAAAAAATAAAGAACGGCCTTTCTATGGAACTTCGGTTCCTGCACCATTCAGACTCGATTTTCTCAATCTCTCTCTCTCTCACTTATATAAACAGTAGAAAAGCGAAGCATCTTTCTCCCAACACTACTCTTCAGTCTCGCATTCTATTCCAATAATCTCTCTCTCTCTCTCTCTCTCTCTAGTATTATTGGATCTAGGGTTCTGGGTTTTTCCAACTTAGTCAATTGGTCAGCAAATCAAGCGGTTGTGGTTGCTCCTCTGTTACAATCTCTTTTAACACAATGCCTCCTCGCGCATCTAAGCGAAAATCGGCCCCACCCACCTCCTCATCCGTCACATCATCCGACGGTCGTTCTGGTACCTCCTTTCCCTTTCCCTTTCTTACATTCTCTTTCTTTTTCTTTTTCTTTTTTCTTGAAAAAAAAGATTTGCATCTGTTTGGTAAACGAGAAAGCGCGGGAAAAAAAAAGGACTAAAGAAAGTGAAAGAATTTAAGCGAGAATTGCACAAGTCTGATTAATTTTAGTTCTGATGGAGAGTTCTTTACTGTCATTAGCGTTAGGTTTCTTACTTTTGGTTTGTTCGACTGTGAAATGACTATTTATTCTAGTCTGATTGGTTTCTCAGAAACCGCGGGAAAAGAGAATATATTAAATTGAAAAATCGTACGGTCATATGATTCGGCTATTCTTTAATCATTGTGATTGATTATTATCTTGGCATTGTTGGGTTATTGATCATAGTTACTGGGTTTCGTGGCTGAATGTAATTGCTACTTATTTCTACGTCTCCACTGAAATTTAGTAATATTCCCTTTAACGAATTAATATTAAAATTGATGTTCCTGGTTTAATCCTTCACGGTAAATTAGGGAAAATAGCATTATTGATGTGTTTGGGAGATTGTTACATCAAAAAGGAGTCTGTTAGCATTAGACCTGAAGTTATGCAAGGAGTGAAGACATAGGTAGAAGATATTAAAAAGGAGAAAAGGACCTTGCTTTTTTTTTTTTTTTTCCGTTTAGGATAGTTCTAAATAGAGTACAATGACCTAATATAAACCCGACTTAGGCTCGGGTTCCTGTTGTCGTTAAGATTTGTCTTTTCATACTTCTACATTTGGTGGTGTGGATACCATTATGTGGTCTCCGTAAAGTAGCATCCTGACAACGTTGATTCCTATAATATTGGCAATATTGGTAGTGAAACGATTGCCTGATGTTTACTTCCGAAAACTATTGGAATCGGCATTCTGAATCATATTTCAATGTGAACTGAATGTTTGTTAAATAGATAAAATAATGATAATGGTGGTTCTCCTCGGTTGATTAGGCTGGAAGAATTTTTGTTCCAAATGTTCTTGTTATTATTCAACTAAACCTTTGTGGTTTTTCCGTGAAGTGCCTGGTATTCTAATTCGATAATGCTAATTTTCTTTTCCAGTCTCAAGTAAAGCTAAAACAAAGGGGATGGAAAAAATAGATCGCTTGTTCGATTCATATGCAAATAGTTCATTAGGCATGATTGAGTGAGTATATTCCGTCTACAAGTTTTATATTTGTAGAGTACAGAGTTACTGTATGATGTCATGTTTCACTCTAGCTATTGCCAATGGTGATTGGTTTCTTTTAGATACAAAAGAAGAAAAAGCCAAATAAATTCATTATATTTATCCATGTCATGCTGTTATCATTTTTCAAGGTCAAGAATCTGTCTGAGCTTTTGATTCTTACAGGTGTTACATTTCATTTCTTGTTTGTTCTAAGTTGTGGTTTGAACATAATGCCAATGAAAGCTCATGAACCTTATTAAATTGTTTGAACATAATGTCTCAGCATTTTGTAGTTTATATTTCATATCAAGGTACTTACTTGCTAAGAACAACTTTTAGTTGTAAGGATTTTTACCTACATTTCCATTGGGTCAAAAAGTAATGAGTTCCCTTGAGAAGAAAAAGAGCTATGGTTCTTTTCCTTATCTGCATGTTAAAACCAATTCTGATCATTTTGGAGGTGGCCATACGTCCTCAGGAATCTATTTTGTCTGAAAAAGTTAACATAATCCCCAGCGGGCGCACAGGTTTTTAGAGGATTGCATGCATATCCTTTTGTAACACTCTTATTTTTGCTTGAGCAGTCCAGATGGTATTGAATCTCTCTGTTCAGATCTCGGAGTGGACTACACTGATGTGAGGATATTGATGCTTGCTTGGTATGCTATATTCTGTGGTTATAAGACTGGGCCCATTCTTTGTTGTGAGTTTTTCCTAACAACACGTGTTCTGCTTATATCAGGAAATTAAAAGCTGAAAAGCAGGGCTATTTCACCCAGGTAAGCTGAAGCGATACTTATATGACATGCTGCTTTCAATGGATGCCATAGTAGAAAAAATGAACCGACCTTAGATGAATGACTGCCTTTTTTCTTCTTTTGCACTGAATCAGGATGAGTGGCGAACTGGCCTGAAAGCATTAGGGGTTGATTCACTTAGCAAACTGAAAAAGGCGCTTCCTGAACTGGAGAATGAGGTATTTGTATCTGCTGTAACAGTTATTGCAATCATTGTAAAATTATTTTATGGTTTATAAGTAAGCAATTAAGTGGTAGCACTGAATTTATCACTTTTTTATATATGAAAAAAAGGTGGGGAAGCCATCGAATTATGAGGATTTCTATTCCTATGCATTCCGATACTGCCTGACAGGTTTGCCCTTTAATTGTAATTGAATGAAAGGAGCCTTTCTTTTTTCGCAATGCCTAGCTTCTCTTTTATAGTAATTTGTTCTTTTAATAAAAAGCTGATATTGATCAACTGACTCAGAGGAGAAGCAAAAGAGCGTGGACATTGAAAGCATCTGTGAACTGTTAAATCTTGTTCTAGGGGCACAATTTCGTCCTCAGGTAGATTTACTAATTGAGTATCTAAAGGTAGGTAGGCAATTTTGTTTATGAGGCTGTTATTCTTTCATCTTTAGCAAAATAAATGCTGATCATATGCACTGTTTATTATCAGAGCATGTGTTTCATGACATGCTTTTGATGCTTGGACTTGATTTTCTGGCAGGTCCAGAGTGATTACAAAGTAATAAATTTAGACCAGTGGAATAATTTTCTACGTTTTTGCAAAGAGGTGAGCCTTTTGAAAAAAAAAAATGTAGAAGTCTGCAATTATTATTTTCCCCCAAAACTGATTAACATGAGTGTTTCTTTCCCTCTGCATTGAAATTTAGTGTTGGCTGCTGAAGGAAAGAAAGAAGAAAAACAAAGAAAATAAGAAATGACATGTAAAGGGATAAAAAATTCATCCTAGATATGTTTGGTGATGGTTGACGAAAGTGCTAATTTATAGTATTGCATTGATAGAACTGAACTATGTATGATATTTGATGAAAAAGCATAATTTTCCATTTTTCTTTCCCCCCCCCCCCCCCAATCTGAGGCATCTATAATAACTTTGAAGCTTTGCTGGCAGATTAGTTTTCCAGATCTCGAAAATTATGATGCAAGCCAAGCTTGGCCCTTGATCCTCGATAATTTTGTAGAATGGAGGAGAGAAAAGCATAGCTAGTGTTGGCATCTTTCGTATGTCTTGCAGATTGCTGATTTCATACGGTAAATGGTATCTCTCTCTCTGTGGATTTGGTCAGATTTTATTCTCTTGAAAGTATTAAAGGAATGATCAAATTCATTTTTATTCACCCGTCAGCAGGACCTTGCAGAAACCTAACCAGTGACCATGGAGCTGGCTCATATTATAACTGATTAAACTGATTTTTGCTGAACCTTTTCCCAGGTTAAAATTGCAAATTTGTTGTCCGGAGATGGTTTATACATTCTGCATTCATCAATATTAAGTTTCCTTTTTCTTTTCCCTGTTAAAGCTATTTTAAGCAGAAAAAAGATGCGTTACCTAATGAAGGATGGTTCTATAAATATGGCATTAAACCATCTTTTCTCACCACAGTTTCATTCTGGATTGCAATGTTATTATCTACTCACCTTTAAAAACATCAGAAAGAGCTTCTGCTTTAGGTAAATCCAGTGACAGTTTAGCCTCTTACACCTATGCAAACATATTAGCAAGGTGGTGGCCTGTTGCCAGCAAATTCGCAAAGCTCAACATAACTTCTAGCAAAAGAAAATACAAAAGTCAAAATCACAATTGCAGAGTACCAGACCAAGCTAACTAAAGTATTAATGAATTAAAGTCACAGTTGAATCCATAGTTTGTGCATGAGTTAGGACCTTTAAGAAAACACTAGTTGAAATTGCATTAATCCTACCAAAGGAGATCATTCTTGAGCTTCGAACAGCATGGAAAACAAAGAAGAATCAACTAAAATTTCAGCGTCGCTTTGCCTTGTTTAATTACTTCTTACAAAGGCGAAAGATGTATCACTCTCAAGTCTAAAGCTAGTGATGTTGGAACTTATTACGTCATTGCATTGAATTATGTTAGACCATCGGAAGGCTCGGTTTTGTTTCTTTCTTACAACTGCTGAGCTGTTTGCAGCTGGTTTTCTGAATTCCTGCTTGTCACAGAGTGTTTTCTGTTTGTAACTCTATGTATTCCATATCTAAGTGTTTTCTGTTTAACTTATGTATTCCATATCTATGTTAATGGATTTATTGATTTGCCCAAAAATAAAATACTTAAGAGTGGACCTAAACAATCGATAATGAGAAAATTGAATCAGTTATCAACTTCTTCCTCCATTGATCAACTCTTTCAAATTTGTAGGATCACTTTGACAAAATTAACAAGAAAGCCGGCCTACAGCAAACCTAGGAAACAACATATTGATCACTAAAATTCGAAGTTTCTCCCTACTTATCATAATAGAAAACTACAAACACAGGAGCAAAGCAATCAAGTAAATCGATAAAACCATAGCTTAGTTATTCTACTGTCACATGCTCTATATAAGCAGCATATACTCCTTTGGTTCTATCAATTGAAAAAATTAGAAAACTCCTAGCTTGTAATCGTCACAATATCCTAAGATGGCCAAGCAAAAATTAGCTTCAGTCTTCTTGGCCATTGTCTTAATTCTTGGTGCAAATATCTCATTCTCTACTGCTTCATTTCCTACTTTGTTGACTCGTAATTACTGGCAGATGTCTAGACCAAGACCAACGAAACTAATTGGGTGGAGTACACCGGGCCCTGAGCCTGCCAATATCCCCCCATCTCCATCACCCCAAGCGTCTCCTAGTCCTCCACCTTATTCTTACCATGGAATTAAAGGCGGCTATTGGCCCTCATGGCTAGCTTATAATCTCCCTCCCTCATCAACCCCTACCAAGTACTTCACACGTGTTTTATGCCTTTATTGGCATTGATGCCTCTACATACCACTTGTCCATCACCAAACCTGATGATCAATGGATGGGAAACTTTACAGCCATCCTTCAGGCCAAAAAAGCCACCAGCAAAAGCCTTGCTATCCATTGGAGGAGCCAATTCTGGCACTGGTACTTTCTCCACTATGGTTAGTAACCTTCATAATCGTGCTGCTTTCATCAAATCCACTATTGCTACAGCCAGAAAATATGGTTTTGATGGCCTTGACATTGACTGGGAATTTCCTAACAACCCAGATGACATGTCAAACCTCTCAAAGTTCTTTAAAGACTGGCGTCAGGCTGTTGAGAGTGAGGCTTCCGACTCAGGCAAGCCTTCCCTTCTTTTAAGCGCTGCTGTTTATTTTGCTTCCAGGTTTTTCTTTGATCTGCCTAGGACATACCCTGGTGACAATATTGCAAAATATCTTGATTTTGTGAATCCTATGTGCTTTGATTATCATGGAAGTTGGGACACTTCTGTCACTGGTGAGCATGCTCTGCTATATGAACAATTCTAGCAATATTAGCACAAGCTATGGTATATCATCCTGGATTGAGGTTGGAGTCCCTCCAAAGAAGCTCGTTATGGGAATGCCACTTTATAAAGAACATGGAAATTGAAGGACCCAAAAAGCCATGGGATTGGAGCACCTACTGTTGGAGTTGGGCCTGCAGATAATGGCATATTGTTTTACAAGGATATTGTAACTTACAATGCTGGACATCATGGCCATGTAGTGTATGACAGGGATACCGTATTAGAATATTAATACTGAGGAACAGATTGGATTGGTTATGATGGGCCAAAATCAGTGGCAAGGAAGGTTGAGTATGCCAAGGCTCATCACCTTGGTGGTTATTTCTTCTGGGCCCTTGGATATGACATGAATTAGGCCCTTTCAGTAATTGGTACGTTCTCAACTCGGGCAGTTTCCATATTTTCGACACAGATTCAATTATCCGATTCCAAAATATGCTAAATTTTCTACTTTTTTTTTTGAATATTCGAATATAATCAACGTTCAAAGCATATATATAGGCCTCAAACTAAAATTTTGTTAGGAGATTCAATTTACTTCTAGTCTAATTCTGTTTATGTTGTATGTGTTTGGCAGCATCAGATGCACGGGAAGGAACACGCCAGTAGCACCTGAAATCGTAAGTCCGATGAAATATTCACAATTTCATCTGGAGCTTTCATGGAGCATTATTCATTTGGAACTCAAACTGTTTCTTTTTCTTTTTCTTTTTTTTCCCACTTTCCCTTCTTTTATGCTTGATTGCGTGTGTTGCAAATAAATTTGATTTGTCAATTATGCATGTCAACTATCATTGGTTTGTAATTTTCAATCCTTAGACACGCAAGTGCATGTCATGAAAAAGGATATATAAATTTTCAATCCTGTTTCTTGATTGAAATAATTGAAGAATTCAAAGTTTGAGTTAGAAGTACTTTTCAACACTATTCATCAAGATTGATCAATTATCGTTGTTTTTATTATATAAAGTATGATTTCCAGGATAAGGTAGTTTTGAAAGGCAAATATATATATATATATATATAAAAGAAGAATTTCCATTTTTATCTATATAACTCAAACCAATATCTTCAACCGGCATTTACAAATCTCTTTACCTGGTAGTAGTACTAGTCAAATCAGAGACCAAAGAAGCTTCAATCTTCATTCACCAAGAACCCACGCTCCCGAAGCTGCAAAGACATAAACCGCATCAAGTTATATGCCAATTAACCAAATCATCAGGCTATTGAATTTATCTACTGTATATAAATATCATATTAACTTGTCCAGAGATTTTCCACTCCCTGTCGAAGCTAAGAGCCCAAAAGAAATAACCACGAATTCCAAGGGCCTGAGCGAACCCAATCTTCAATGTTGCTGATATTGCATCGTCATACCCAACCCACGTTGAACCAACATAAGAATATGTTGATACAGTATCCAGGTCATGTTTTACCCTGGCTCCATTCTTCTTGTTGAACTTCTCTACCTGGACAAATGTCAGCAACCCATGGTCTCCTGGGCCTACAGCAACTGCAGCCGATCCAATCTCATTAAAATTTGGGTCCTTTAGCAGCCAAGTCCCCCCATAAAGTGGCAGCCCCATTACTAACTTGCTCCTATGCACCCCAGCTTTGATCCATGACCTAAGGCCATAACTAGTACTCACGTTACTGTTTGGGTCATAAAGTGTTGCGTGGGCTCCTGTCTTCTAAGTGTTCCATCCACCATGAAAATCATAGCATATTGCACTAACCCAATCCAAATGTTGATTAATATAGCTTACTGGGTATATGCGGTAGACTTCATCCAAGAAAAAGTCGACTGAGAAGTAAGCAGCCGCCGTTAGAAGTAGAGGAGTTCGGTGGGTGGCCTTAGCCTCATAGTTGATAGCTCGCCGCCATTCCATAAATAAAAAGGCCTAAATCTTGCATATCTTTTGGGCTTTTAGGGAATTCCCAGTCTAGGTCCATCCCATCAAAACCAAATTTTCTGCAACCTCGATAGCTGAAGTTATAAAAGCTTTACGCGACTTTCCCTCTGAAGCCATGCGGGGAAAAACAAGAGTATCAGCACCACCGCCACCAATAGAGAAAAGGGTTTTTGCCGGCGGATTCTTGTGGTGGAGGGTGGCAGTAAAATTCGACAGAAGAAGTGCTGTTGGACTTGAGATTTCAAATTTATAGGTGACGTTGCTTGGCATGAGAAAAGCATAGTAAATATGAGTAAACAAGGATATATCTATGGCTGATGGTGGGAAAGTTGTCGTCCACGAAGGCCAATAAGCTGCTTTGACAGACGGTGGCGACGCCATGACAACAGATCTTGTAAGCATGGTTAAGAAAACAATAAGAATAGAAGAGAGCTGAAAATATGTGGTGAAACCTTCCGTCGTTGCTAGAGGGCTTGTCATAAATGATTTCGAGCAAGAGTGTCGAGAAAGTACATATAGCAATCATCTCGCTAGATAACTAATAGTCAGAAGAAAATTTTGAACAATTCTTTTGTCTATAGTTTTGGATGGTTGTGTTTGTCCATGACACATAATTTTTAGTCTTTAGATGATCTAGGGAATTTAAAATAGAAGCAGCCAGTACTAATACTACTAGCTACTGCTATCAGAAATGTGACAATGCTCTTCGTATCATGGTGGGTGGGCGTCAACTCTCTAGAAAGCCTGACATATCTAATTGAAATTTTGATTTAAAAATGAATTAGGGGTTGTCCAATCTGATTGGCATTAAGGTTAAAAATGAGAGTATTGGGTAACTGTTCAAGACAACGTTTTAATACTCATGGTGTGTTTGAGCTTTATATGACGGTATTTTGTGTTTGTCTAGCACTAGCGTTTGCTTGTGGAGGGACATGAATGCGAGAGTGAAGCTTGGGACAAGTGGATCAGCAAAATCGACTTCCGAAATATCTTTTAATGATTTGCCAATGCAGTTATACATAATTTTCAAAACTTCACTATGATGGTTACGGATTACCCTTTGATTTTTCAATATCCCGAAAGCTTTCATATAACAATTGTTTGTACTTAATATGCTAAAATTAGGAAATATTCTGCTTGACTTGGGTTGGGCATGGGCCTGTGAGGTGGGAACAACAAGGAGCTCCAAGATGAATATAAAGATAGTTCATGATTTTATGAGGCTTGAACATACAAAATTTGGTTGCAACTTTTACGTGGTCTGGGTTTTAGACCCTTTTTAGGTAGCTTAAAACAGAAAGAATTTAGTGTGCAATACACTTTTTAACATTAATTTGAATGTTTTTGCCATAACCAAATATATATAAACACTAGTTTTATGCATCCAAATAATTAATTAGCCATGCAGTTATTCAATTTCTTTCCTTGAAATTCAATCGATCCCTCCAAGCCATCCAATTTTCCAAGAAAGCTATACATAGCTTATTGTGTTTAAAAAATTCCCAAGAAAGTCATAGATTCATTAATATCTTTACACGTTTGCATGATTAAAAGAATGGTAAACCATAATTCTTCTAAATTATGTTGCCCAAATGCATGCCTATACTGTCAATCATCGAGGTACCACTTGGGTCATCGTTGCATCATTGACTGAAAAAACTTTCTTCTTGCCAATGTCTTTACTTTCCTCCTCTTCATCTCTTGTAACTGAAAATGCAGGCTGCTTAGGGGTAGAGATTGCTGCAGTAGTTTCATTCTTCAGGAGTCTAAAAACTTCCACCATGGATGGTCTATCTGCAGGGTTTTCCTGCACGCATAGCAGTGCTACTTGCATGCATCTAATGAGCTTACAAGACAAAGATGAATCATCCAGTGAAGCATCAAAAAACTCAGCCCCTCGACCTTGTTTCCACAATTCGTACGACTGAAATTGTTCAATGTTGTACATTTTTAGCATATTTGTACTACAAATATGAAAAAGTGGGTGTGACGAAGAAACTTACATATTCAAGAAGATTCAAGTTTTCACTGCAGCCATAGAGACTGGAATTCCTCTTCCCACTTACAATTTGCAGAAGTAGAACTCCAAAACTACAAACATCATACTTCATAGAGTATATTCTTTTCTTAACATATTCTGGAGGAACATAGCCACTGCATTTAATGAATTAATTAATAACAATAATACGGATGTAGGGCAAAGGAAGAAAAAGATATGATATGTATCATTTGAGAACACCTGTTTCACTTTCTATGTCCCAACAATTCTGCTGGTGTTTGCTTCAAGTTCGTCCTTTTTGAAAAATCTTGCCATACCAAAATCCAATATTTTTGGGTTCATATCATCATCTAATAAAATGTTGCTAGCCTTTATATCATGATGAATTATTGTGAAATTTGAGTATTCTTGGAGACATAGAATCCCTTGAGTAACACCTTCAATTATTAAAATACGTCTTCTCCAATCTAAGAGATACTTTTTAACAGGATCTGCATCAATTAAATTTATGAACAATTTTAGTCTTTTTTGCTTAAAAGTTTAGGATAAGTCAATCCAAACATTAATATGGAATAACATGACATAGAAATGTACTTAACAATCATACTAGGTAGAATAAATTAAGTATTGCTTACCATAGAGGTAGAAATCCAAGCTTTTGTTTGGCATGAACGCATAAATCAGCATTTTTTCTTCTGTCTCGGTACAAATTCCAACAACTCGAACTAGATTCACATGTTGAAGCTGTGCCGTAAGTGTGACCTCATTTTTGAATTCCTCAAGCCCTTGATTAGAAGTTTTGGAAAGCCTCTTCACTGCTATTTCCTGCCCCTTCGGTAACTTATCCTGTCATAGTCCACGTTAGTATGGTTGGTAGTATTTTTCAATAACTCTGTGCCTGTTTGTGGCTTTAAAACCAATCAAATGTTTGATTAAAAATTATTTTGTCAATAATAAAAGACTAGTTTCATTGTTTTGGATGTCCTTCGAATTTCAGAATCTCTTGCTGGTAAGCAGAATGCAGCAAATCCTCAACCACGGCTGAATCTGCCTGGTCATCTCAATTTCATGTCTAGAACATAACAATATTAGAGATGAAGATACTTTTCCAATACCCATGTTTAGATTTTGTATAAGAAAATAGACTAATATATAGTATTACCTTGTAGACAAGTCCATATCCACCCTCCCCCAGCTTATTCTCATTTGAAAAGTTATTTGTGGCTGCTTTAATGCTAGTAAAACTGAAAACTTGGAGATAAGGAGCACCATTGTCATGCTCTCCCTCAGCTGATATTTTGTTTATTATCCAGGATGATGATTTTTTCACAGTACCCAAAACTCCTGCAGCCAAAACCTTGTGGAATTAATTTATGATTATCACCTCTAATCACTGCAAATTCTCAAAATGTCCAATCAGTTACCTTGTGACTTGAATATTTTTGTTTGCAGGTAACAAATGATAGTCCACATCAGGAGAATCGCTGCTGCAATTATAACCAGAACAATAACCAATAATTGATGCTTTGCCCGGTGACTGGTGCCTATTCCATAAGCTGTGAACATTGAAAGGCCCAAGTCAATAGCTTTTTTCTGTGTGGAAGTGAAAAAAGAAACAGCTCACTACATGAGAAAGCCCCAAAAGTCAGAATATAACAACTGAGGTAAAATGATGTTAATATACAGATTTTTTTCAAGCCAATGTTTAAAAATTCAGTTTTGTCAAGAAATTGAATAAACAATTAGAAAGAAAAATGAAAGGGTATGATGTTCCATTTCCACATATTTTTATTAATTTGGTGTCAGTTGTATGATTCTTTTCTGGTGTGGAATTGTATCTCTCTTAGTTGGAATTTGAGAAAAAGAAACTGGTTTAAGTTCAAATATCTTTCAGATAGGAAATGATTTTGACTATTACAAGTCCTGTTTTCAAAAAGGGTTTAAATATGAAACAGAAAAGACTAGAGAACCCACAAAATTAAAGGGAGATAACCATCTTACCAGCTTTAGAAAGCACCCAATTATCGTCATTGGATAGTTGAAAGGCATTGTAACCGAGTAGCCCCTTCGCCTTGGCATAAGAAACCTTAGCTTTAATGGCTTCCACATCATCAAAATTGATCCAAATCGATCCAATTTTGCAAAAATTGACCACATAAGTAGAATTATACACAGATTCAACGCCATAACCGTAATTTTGAATGAATGATTTGATTGACTTAAAGCCCATTGAACCATCAATTGTGACAGCCGGCCCTGAAGCTGGTGAACCAATGTCATTGTCACCAGATTTAACAAGTGTCCATGCAAAGCCATGGTAAGGCAAACCTAAAACTAGCTTGTCAGCAGAAAATGCTCGGTGTAACCATTCCTTTATACCATCATCAGTGTTAGTCCTGCTCAACGGACCATATAAAGCGGCATGAACACCAGTAAAGCTGTCAACTGTTGGCACATAGTAGTCATATGCTATAATATTTACCCAATCCAGGTTTTTCTTTGTAGAATCAATAGGATAACTCACTGAGTTGACAATTGGCATGCTTTGAGCCAACATAGTTAACAGCAACTGTGTCTTACCAGAGTTTCTTGACTCAGAAGCTACCTCAGCTCGCCACTCATCCAAAAAATTTCCCAAACTGGTCATGTTGGTAATATTCCTAGGCACAACCCCAAAAAGGTCCAGGCCATGAAAGCCATAAAGCCTGGCTGTTTTTACGGAAGATTCAATGAAAGATTTTCTGTTGGAAGTGTGATTAATCATCAAAGAAAATGTTGTCGACTCACTTTTTCCAACCAAAATGGATAAAAGTGTAGTAATCGATGGATTTTTGAGTTTTAGAATGTTGGTGAAGTTAGAGAAGGGTTGTTCATTTGAGGAGTTGATTTGAAGCTGGTAGGAAGTAGAATTTATAAAAGCAAAAGCGCAAAAAGGATGAGTGAAAAGAACAGAATTTATATCATGAAACAGAAAAGACTGACTAATGAAGCTTTCCATTCCAAGTCTACATGAAGCATTATTGTTTGGCTCAAAGCATACCCTCTACTGTCTGACCATTTGCAATTGGCTTTTGGGTTACAACGGCAAAAAATGGAGGATAAAACTTATACGAAGTTACATAGTTCGTGAAATTTTTTATTAAAAATAAATAAATAAAATTTAAATCAATAAATCAATAAAATTTATTATGAAGACCAAAAATACATAAAAATTTTTATTAAAATATTGATTCTAATTCAAATTTGATCAATATTTATTTAATAATAAAATTTTTATTAATATTTTTACTAAAAATATTTATTTAATAAATATATCAAAATTTTTCAAAATTTTAAAATTTTATACCTTTGATTTATATACTGAGATCTTTTAGTTTATCAAATTCGATTTTTAATTTTAATTTTTAATTATTTATTTTTAATAAAAAATTTACGAACGTTATAAAATTTAATATAAGTTTTTCCAGGAAGTGAAAAAAGAAAATTTGTTTCAAGCTTGGGCAGTTGGGCTCTATTTGCAAGCCGAATATTCACGAGAGGTCCGTTGTTTTATTTGGAAGTTGGAACAGTCTGAAAAGTGAAAACCCAAGATGTCTGGCCCAAAAGATTTACGAAAACCAGCCTAGCTACCATGGAAGCATAAGCTTGCTTATTAGTAGTTTAGCACCTCCACCAAAAAAAAAAAAAAAATTGAACCCAGATCATTGGTTTGAATGGTGTTGTTCAACCCTCTATAGCCAAAAATGTCTTATTGTTATTGATGGCATAACCTTTTTGATCTATCAAGTTGGACGAACTGTGTAAACCATAGTCCTTTGAGGAGAAAAGAGACTGGAACTGTGGAACAAATTCTATTAATGAATTTTCACATGCAAAGCCTAAACTCTCGCCCAGCGACCACTTCTGAAATTGTAGAATCATTAACTGATCATATTTCTATCTACAATGCAGATCTCTTTTCCTCATCGTCATTGCATTTTGTCGAGAAAGCAGGCCTCTTTGGAGTCGCCATTTGTGTGTTTTCATTTTTCAGCATTGAAGAGACATCCAACATGGTAGGCCTATCATTTGCATTTTCCTGGACAAACAGCACAGCTATTTGAATGCATCTTATGAGTTTGCAGGCTGAAGTTCTGTCATCCAATGAGGGATCCATAAATTCCAGGCAGGTCATACGCCTGAAATCATGACATATATCATGAAACTTGCAGCTCAATTAACAGAAAAACAGAATATATTCATTCACCACAATGTTAGTATAAAAATAGATGTAATCAAGTCCTTCGCCTCTTGGTCTACTGGCTGGATCTCCTCACCTTTCCCCCTTATAAGTGTATGCCCTCCCTTGTACCCAAAAAAAAAAAAAAGATGTAATCAATAAAACTTACAAAATCTAACAGACTTAAAACTTTATCCAGGCCATATACAATGGCATTCCTCTTTCCACTTATAACTTGCAAAAGTAGAACCTCAAATGCATACATATCAGATTTGAGAGAGTACTATATATAAACGAAGTTTTATAGATAGAGTTTGTGAACTTCCTTATAAGAACTTAGTAAACAAGAACTAAAATAAAAAATCAAAATAGATAGATTGAAATATCTTATAGGTAGATTAAACGTGCAAAATTTAAAATTTTTTTTTATAAATTTTGATATATTTATTAAATAAATATTTTTAATAAAAATATTAATAAAATTTTAACTGCCAAATAAGTATTATTTAAATTTGAATTATAAATAATAGTTTTAATAATTTTTTATATATTATTAACCTTCACATTAAATTCTATTAATTTATCGGATCAAATTTTTTATTAAAATTTTTATTTACTTATTTTTAATAAAAACTTCATGAATTCTATTTATAAAACTTCTTGTAAAGTTTTATTCTCTCCAACATATTCAAGAGGAACGTTACCACTGCATTAATTGGACAAGTCAAAAAATGTTTAATGGTTCAGTATTTACTAACAATCTTCTTGTGTCAACTGTCAAATAGCTTTGCTTTGAATGTATTTGGTACTTCCTATGCCCAACAATAGGACTTGTGTTTGCTTCAAGTCCTTATTTTGCGAAAATTCGTACCGTACCAAAATCTGATATCTTAGGCATACCAGCGTCCAGCAAAATGTTGCTAGAGTATTCTCGAGAGATAAAAAGCCCTTTAAATGATCTCAACACGGTTTTCTCCAGTCCAATAAAAGCTTTCTAAGGTGGTCTACATCACAACAGGTTATACTCAATCAGCTAAATACCCATTCAAATAATCTAACTTAAAACACAAGTTGCAAGCTAATGCATATGATTTTCAATGCAAAGTGCCAATCAATATCGACTCATCAGTTATTGTATTTGACGCAAAATAGTTCAGGGCAGACCAAAAGGGAAGTAGTCCAGGCTCTTATTCGGCATGCACTCTTATATCAGCACATGTTCTTCTTTACCTATGAAGAATCCCAAAACTCTTAACAAGATTTACATTCTGTAATTTTGCTGTGAGCATAACTTCATTCTTGAACTCCTCAAACCACTGGGTAGACGTTTTTGAGAGTTGGGGCAGGGAGAGAAGTCCCTACCGTACGTACGTGCTTGTTTGTTGTGTTTCTCTCAGCAAACAGTGTTTTCATGTCTCGTCAATATTCGTTTGCATTTGGTTTTTCAGCCTTAAAAGCCTGAAATACAAATCAATAATGCAATAGCAAAGTTCTTTGACTTTTTCTTTGATTTTGACGTGAGCGGGATTGAGTTAGCGGATTCTGCGGACTGCAAACCACCAGTTTAAATGCTGTCGGCCCGAGTAGAAACGACCCCAAGACTCATAGACTTAAACTGCTGCCCACTCAGACAATCCATGACCTGTACTTGGACTAACCAAGCCTCAAGTCAGAGGTGCCTTAAAGTCTGTGCAGATTAACAGATAAGGGCTCGGATGCAAGCCACACCTTTTTTTCCCTCTAATACCCCATTATGCACACAAAACGATACGAGCGATGAACACTGACGTGTATATATAATATATATATATATGTTTTTTTTTTTTTTTAAATTAGACGTTTGTGAGCATGATGCGCTATCCGTGCTATGAAATGTTTATCCAATGAAAATATACAACAACGTCAAACTAAGTTTAATATCTTATAGTTTTAAAATTAATTATATGAAAATTAAAAAAAAACATATTAAATTATAATTTTAAATTTTTTATGTTATTTATTTTTATTAAAAATATTTATTTATTTATTTTCTTAACTATCCCGTATAAATGTGACGTGAAAAATAATAATATTATTGGTTTTAGAAATTACAAACTTTTTTAGAACAATTTTTTAAGTAACATATGTCATCGAACGACCACTTCTGTAATCGGTGAATTATCGATGGAACTTATTTCTTGCTGCAAGTGAGATTTCTTTTGCTCATCATCTTCATTGCTTTTAGTTGAGAAAGCAGGTCTCTTCGGAGTGGCCACTGGTGTAGTTTCATTTCTAAGCATTGAAGAGACTTCCAACATGGTAGGCCTGTCATTTGCGCTTTCCTGGACACACAATAGAGCTATTTGCATGCATCTCAATAACTTATAGGATGTACTTGTGTCTTCCAGCAAGGGATCCACAAATTCCATGCCTTTGCCCTCTCTCCATAGCTCATGTGCCTGAGATTCATTTAAATGAAAAATCCAATAATTTCACAATATAATAGAAAGGGTGTTGAGATATGTTAGAAATGAAACTTACGAAATCGAGAAGACTTAAATTCTCATGGAGCCCGTATGAATGTGCATTCCTCTTTCCACTTATGATTTGAAGAAGTAGGACCCCGAAACTGTACACATCCGATTTGATGGAGTACAAACCCTTCTTAACATATTCAGGAGGAACATAACCACTGCAACAAATTGGCTAATAGTGTTTAGCATTAGTTTATGATTATATGAAATTAATATCTTTGATTTGAATAATGCACTTACTATGTGCCCACGATTCGGTTTGTGTTTGCTTCAACTCCATCTTTGGTGAAAATTCTAGCCATGCCAAAATCTGATATCTTAGGTTTCATGTCTTCATCTAATAAAATGTTGCTAGCTTTCAAGTCTCTATGAATAATTGTCAATCTGGAGTATTCTTGAAGATATAGAAGCCCTTGAGTAACCCCTTCAATGATATCGACACGCTTTCTCCAATCCAACATGAATCGTTTTATGGGGTCTGCATCTCAGCGGATTATGAGCAGTCAATGAAACAAACAATCTTTGTGAACCAAAATAAATAAACAAAACACAAAAGGAAAAACAAAGATCACATAGATTTCGATGCTAATCATCAACAAAAAATTCTAATGTATTGTCATAGGACGTAAGATAGGTTAACTGCCAACCATAAAGGTAGTAGTCCAAACTCTTGTTTGGCATATATTCATAGACCAGCATATGTTCTTCTCTATCAACGCAGAATCCCAAAACTTGTACAAGATTTACATGCTGTAGTTTTGCTGTGAGCATAACCTCATTTTTAAACTCCTCAAATCCTTGTGCAGATGTCCTTGAGAGTTTTTTTACTGCTATTTCTTGTCCATCTGATAATACACCCTAACAATTAAATGAGCAATTATTGTTAGTGCTCCATGTCTCGATCCATATAGGTAGTGTTCTGGCAAAATTAAATATGAATTCCAAAACTTTACCCCAATTAGCTAGATAATTAGTGTAGTGCATTACCTTGTAAACAGGACCATATCCACCCTCTCCCAGCTTATTTTCAAATGAGAACCTATCAGTAGCCACCTCAATATCAGAGAAACGATAGACCATCAGATTAGGAACATTGCGATTAAAATCTACAGCAGCTGTTATCTGATTTGCTTTGGACTTGGAATTTTTAGCTACGTGCACCATCTCTATCAACCAACCAAAAAAGAGTATGATTAAAAATCTTTTGGTTAATTGCATTTCAGATGGGATCTAAAAATGAGAAAAAAGTGTCTATAAAATGAAATTTGCCTAGGCAATGATGCTGATAAGTTTCAACTCAAAAGATTTACCTTCCCTCTTTCTCGTTACCCTTAACAAGTGGTACGCCAACGCGCCAACCGAAAGCAAGAGCACAACAATTGGAATCAAAATAGTAATCAGCAATAACCGCCCTTTCTTTTGTGGAATATCAGCGTTGGCAGAAGCAGATGCTGACAAGAAAAATATAGAAGGTACATCAAGAAGATTCTTTAAAACATTTTCTTTTGTAAGATGTTTATGTCTTGGCTTCTTTGGATTATATCTTTCTTAATTCACTCATTTTTTTGTCCTTATCATGCCAGCCCATCCATTCAAATATTTTCTATGTGCCAAAGAATTAAAGAAAAAATGACCTGAGAAATCCTAAATCTCAAGGAAAACCTTTGAAAGGGAGTAATCCATTGTCCAGACTTTTTGGCTAACTTTTTGGATAAATTTCTAGTATATGCCCTGTTCAACAATATTATTTTCCTTTCTTATCAAGACATAGAATTATTAATACTTATGCAGAAGAAAATTGAATTGGATGGAAAGAGTGAAGCATCCGTTTCATACCAGCTTGGGAAAGCATCCAGTTGTCATCATAGGGAACTTGCCAAACAAAGTAACCCAGCAATTTCTTTTCCTTGGCATAGGAAACTTTAATTTTGACAACCTCAACATCATCAAAACCAATCCAGGTCGCTCCAACAGTGCAGTAATTCACTACATATGTACCATTATACGCTGAATTGGCTCCATATCTTTGAATATAATTCGTGATGTCCTTGTACGTCAAACCCCCATGTTCTGAAATAGCTGGTCCTGATGCTGGTGCGCCAATGGTGTTATCCTTGGGGTCCACAAGTGTCCATGCATAGCCATAGAGAGGCAAGCCCAAAACCAACATACTGGCTGGTAATCCTCCACTAATCCATGACTCTATACCAAAATCTATATTAAAAGTACTGGCTGGGTCATACAGAGCTGCATGAGCCCTTGTAAAGTTCTCCCTCTTTGGAGTATAGAAGTTATAAGCCATAACATGTAACCAATTCAAGTTTCTCTTCAATGAATCTACTGGAAAAGTTGAGGACTGTGAATACCGCGAGAATAGAACTACTGCAGTCAATATCAACTCAGATTGGCTAGAATTTCTCGCCTCTGAATCAATTGCAGCTCGCCATTCTTCAAAGAGAACAGCCATATTGCTCATATCAGAGCTGGTGTTGGCTGAAAGCCAGCAAAAGTCCAAGCCCTGGAAACCATAAAGCCTAGCTGTTTTTATTGAGGAATCAATGAAAGATTTCCTGTGGGAGGAATTGCTTACCATTGAAAGTATGATCGAATGGTTTGCACTTCCACCCCCTATGGATAGAAGCGTGGTTATTGATGGGTTTTTCTGTTTGACAGTATTAGTGAAAACAGAGAAGTATCGCTCATCATAAGACGAAATAGAGAGCTGATAGGAGGAGGAATTCAGGTTTGCAAAAGCCCAAATAAGGTGAGTAAAGAGAGCAGAATTTATATCAGAAATGGGGAATTCACTACCTGAATCCCAGTAACCAGCTTGCATCCAGGTTTGTGCTATTGACGGATGCAATACTAAAGAGAGAAAAATATGGAGAAAAACTATGATAAACTTAGGTGCCATGGAGGAAACTTGCAGGGGTGATGATTTCTACCAGAATTTAGATCTATTAAAAGTAAAATTTGTTGACAAAATACAGTGAAGTATAAAGACAATTGTACATCACACATGACACATGCATTTTAATTTTCACGTCTGAAATAAGTTGACTGATTAAATAGTCAGCCATTTTATTTAGTCAAATGTTCAAGAACAAAAATTTGGACATTTTTTTAATTAAAAATGTTATTTTTAATTTAATTCAATTAGGCTTCGTTTGATAATCATAAAAATAATTTTCGAAAATCTATTTTTTTTAATTTCCATTTTTTGGATGACTTAATTTAACAAAATCAACAACAAAAAAAAAAACTTTCGATTAATTTAAAATCGTAAGATAAAACACAAAAATTGTCTTCCGTTTCTTTTGGGTGAAAGACAATTTGCAAAACACATCAACACCGGCAAGCTGTGAGACTCCACCCCAAACCCAACAAGCAGTCAACCGTTACCGTCTTTCCCCATTTTTAGCAACTGCCTCCTTTGAATTACAGAATGTAACCAGTCCATTTTTTTCCCTTCCTTCCCCTTTATGTTATCTTTCTTTTCCCTTTGATTTCTCACTCTTTATCTAAAAGAGTAAGTAAACATAAGGATGGCAATAGATGGTAAATAAACAGATATTTATTATTATTTTATCTATTTATGTAAGATTCTGATAATTATAAATATATAATTAATTAATTCATATAAAAAATTTATTATTCATGATAGAATTAAAGTAGATACAATTAGTATACTTAAATATTTAAAATCTGAATCTATTTAAATTTTAATAAATAATAATAGATATTTGAATTCGTTATCCTTTTATATATGTAAAATATATAAAATTTTATTTTGATAAAAAATTTCGAATTTTAAAAAATAATTTTTATTTATTATTAATTAAAATTAAAATTAAATTTTAAATTAAATTCTTATTTGTTTTATATTTTAACAAAAAAATTTAAATTAAAAAATATTTTAACATATTCAAATATTTAAACAAATTTGGATTTAAATAATGATATTAAAATCAAATAAATATTTAAACAAATTCAAGTATTAAAAATATTAAACAGATTTAGATATGATTATCTCAAAAACAACATATATCCATTCCATTGTGATTCGTAAATAAACAAACTCTCTCACTCTTCCTGAGGCTTTTCCCTTTCCAACAATATTCTATTATGGAAGCTATCTAAAAGCAAGCTACCAAGTTACAGAGGAAGTTACTAAGCAACAGTAACTTTCGTTAAGTAGACCCATCAAGTTACCAATCCTGAACCAAAACCAGAGGAGTGGACAAGTTCTTCCAAAACATGGGTGGTTATCCGTCGCATCCAAAACAATATATATATATATATATATATATGAAATCAAATATTTGGTTAGTTTGAATCTGGATTATGAAATTTTGGACATGATGAAATTTTAAAGTTTTGGATATTTTTCATTGAGACACCATGGGAAAATAGCTTCAAAAAGTTTACCAAACTAAGAAAACTATTTTCTTTATTTCTGAAAATCAATTTCATTGAAAATAATTTTTTTTTTCTAGAAGCTCATTTCCGTAACCGGAGCCTTAATGATCAAACTTTTTCCAAATTACTCAAATAAAATTTTTTAATGAGTGATATACACGCGTGATTAACTTTGTTTATTAGAACAGCCGGAAAAAAAATGTTACAGCTGGTAAAAAAGTACACATTTGATAGCTAACTCATAAAAAATTTATGACAGCTGGCAAAAAGATACACATTTGAAAGCTTACACCTGTATCCTTCGGTTCTTCCCAACACAATCCACGTAAGAGGGAAATTTTTGGCTATTTTTTTCTTTCTCAAATTGTTTTTTTTTTTAATTTTTAATTTTGATATTTTATATTTGAGAATTATCATTTTTGTTAATTTTTAAAAATTGATTATAAATTGAAAAAGAAAAATAAAGACGGAAAGAAAATAAAAAGATGTTGCTTTTGAATCTCCAGATTATTATTGATTCTGCAGAAAGTAGTATGGGAGAGTAGAGAGGAAAGAAAAGAGTTAAGGTTTTTTTTTTTTAATACCTGTCATGTCACATGTGCAAAAATAACAGATCAGCAAAATATTTTAATGTTTCACACTATTAAACAACGAATATAATCCATTCCCCGTAAAAATAAAATAAAAATCTTATTTACGCAATATTTTAAATGTTTTATCCTTATTTTAATCAAATTAAATATTATATTTTTAATTAAGATTTGATCTAAATGTTAAATCCTGAACTTAGCTTTTAATTTTATATTTAATAATAATTCTTTTGTGAGAAAGACAATAGAAATTAACTATGATAATAACTTTGATTAAATATTTAAAAATTTTGTTAAATTTATGTGATACTACTTGAAGGAAATTTATGTACCATCATACTATATCTTCAACCGTCTCTAATTATCCATAGGATTTTTTAAACCAAAGATCATTTCTTGTAACTTTTTTCTTGGTACTAAATTTATCAAGGTTGAATATTTGAATAATAAAGATATTGCAAGAGGTGGAAATTAACTTCATTTAACATGTTGATATATATATATATTTATATATATACCTTTAAAGCTAGTAAGTTTATTTATTAAGACTCACCATTCAAAATACAATAGTCAATAGGATAAAAATGCATTAGACATATTAATAAGGAACTAGTTTATTCAAGCTTTGTCTATTATACTATATATATTTTATTAGCAATCGAAAATATTTAACATCATTCTTATTTGGGGCAGCATCATTCCAAATGACATAAATCAGAAGGAGGATCATTTTATTCATAAACTCGTATAAATCTGTCACTAATTTACTTCATTGACAGGCCATTAGCGTCCATGATCCCCATGTTTGCGATGCTGACACATAAAAACAAAGAAGAGGATCGTTAGGATTAGAACTAATTACGAAACATTAAACTGAAAATAATTCATCCAACAAACCATGAAATCAAAAAATACAAATAGATCCTTTCAATTTAAAGCGTGGTCTCAATGATTAGGGTAGCCCATGCACCCCCAGTACGTGGGGGATTAATCACCTTCAAAGTGTGGATATGGTTTCAGAAAATATTAGCCAGGTCTGATTAAAATTAGTCGTTTACTAACCTGCTTGTGAAAGAGTCCAATCGTCATCTGCACCAACATGCCATGCGAAGTAACCAAGCAAACCATTTTCTTTAGCATATGAAACCTTGGCTGTAACGCTTTCCGTATCGTCATAACCAATCCATGTCGTGCCAGAGTAGCAATAATTTGAAACTACTGTAGTAAACTTCTGTGGTGCTGTTCTGGGAAATAAAATTCTTGATCTGACCGTAACCCAAGTCTCCATCTGCTGATATAGCTGGTCCACTAGTAGGTGCAAAAAATCCATGGTTATTTGCATCTACAAGCTGCCAGGCATAGCCGTAAAAGGGAAATCCGAGTACTAGTTTATTCGATGGAATCCCTGCTTGTATCCATGTTCTGATCCCATAATCCCCACTGACTTGAGTTCCAGGATTGTATAATGCTGCAGGAGGACCGGTTACATTGGACCATCTAGGACCGTAAAAATCATATGCCATCACATTGATCCAATCCAACCTGTTTTCTATCGCCTGGATTGGATAATTCAGAGCAAAATAATCTGAGTTGTGGAAAAGTGCTGTAGATAGAAGCAATTTTGTGTTACCAGTGCTGGTGGATTCATTATCCACAGCAGCTTTCGATTCATTGAGAAGCAAACCCAAGTTGTTCATTTTAGTCGTGGTCGGATAACGATATAACAGCCACTATTTCACCATAACGTTATCATCCGTCATCGCTATTGAAGAAAAAATAAAAGAGAATTTAAATCTCATCAATAGCGATATATCACAATTGTAAATTGCTATGTAATGTTGGACAACGGCAATAGTGATTCGCAATTGTCCATTATTCTATTTTTCATTCAAAAATTCAAAAAAAAAATTTTTATTTGATTCTAGTTAAAAACTTAAAATAAAAACAACAAGCCGAAAAATAAACATTAATTCACAAATTTAGGAAAAAAAACCCACAAAACTTAAACTTTCAAAGATATCAATTCTTTCAAATTCAACTTTAATCAAGATCAAACACAAGCAATTTAAGGTAAATAATTAATTCAGTATTCAAATTACTTTTTTTCTAAGTTTCAAAATTTATTGTAATTTTGTGTGTTTGAGATTGAACTGAGTTATGGTGCATTGCTAGGAGTTGTTAGGACTTAAAATGAGAGACAAGAGACGAGAGTGAAACTTGAGGTTAAAGAAGACAAGCAAATAGCACAAAAAAAAAAAAAAAGAGCTGAGAGATGAAAATGAAGATGAAGGTCTAGAAAAAATTTTATTGAATGCAAAGTGAAGGGATAAGAAGTTGTGTGGGTCTATGCAATTTAATCAAGAGACAGAGAAAGTAGACTTAAATCTATTGTTGTTGATAATTACTCTCACCAAGGAAACTACCAAATTTGATTTATTGTAGGTTCATAAAAAGTAACTTTTTTAGCTTATAAATAGTAATACTCTTGTTTAATTTATGATGTCTAATCACTTGTTAGTTGATTTATATACAATATAGTTCGATAATAATTTAATAAGTAAGATAATTAAATAATTAAATATATCATTCATTATGATTATTTATTTTTTATATCTTTATTTATCTCTTATTATTTTTTAATTATCATATGAATAATTTTTTAAATATGAATATTTTACTATAAATATTTTTTATTAAATAAATAAAACGTATGATATGATATAAATTATTTTAAAAATCATAAATAAGAGTTTTTATGATTAATAATTAAAATTATTATGTTTTATAACAAGTTAAGTAAAATTAAAAAAAATTAATAATTGCGATAACCATAATGACCATAAAGATCTTCGTTATATTTATAATCATGACAAACACAACGCGATAAAAAATATGATTGTTATCGTAATTTAAATCCTTAGCTGTGAATGAATGCTTCCAATCAAGGTCATGGCGACGGAAGCCATAAGATCTTGCTAAACTTAAGAAGGAATCATGAGTGATTTTCGGGTACTAGCTTGGCTTGCCATGGAAGCAAAAGCTGACGCCTCTGAACTTCCCCCACCATTTCCGTAGAATGGATGAGAGAAAAGCATAGCTAGTGTTGGCATCTTTCGTATGTCTTGCAGATTGCTGATTTCATACGGTAAATGATATCTCTCTCTCTTGTGGATTTGGTCAGATTTTATTCTCGTGAAAGTATTAAAGGAATGATCAAATTCATTTTTATTCATCCGTCAGCAGGACCTCGTGGAAACCTAACCAGTAACCATGGAGCTGGCTCATATCATAACTAATTAAACTGATTTTTGCTGAACCTTTTCCCAGGTTAAAATTGTAATTTTGTTGTCCGGAGATGGTTTATACATTCTGCATTCATCAATATTAAGTGTCCTTTTCCTTTTCCCTGTTAAAGCTATTTTAAGCAGAAAAAAGATGTGTTACCTAATGAAGGATAGTTCTATAAATATAGCATTAAACCATCTTTTCTCACCACAGTTTCATTCTGGATTGCAATGTTATTATCTACCTACCTTTAAAAACATCAGAAAGAGCTTCTGCTTTAAGTAAATCCAGTAACAGCTTAGCCTCTTACGCCTATGCAAACATATCAGCAAGGTGGTGGCCTGTTTCCAGCAAATTTGTGAAGCTCAACATAACTTCTAGCAAAAGAAAACGCAAAAGTCAAAATCACAATTGCAGAGTACCAGACCAAGCTAACTAAAGTATTAATGAATTAAAGTCATGTTGATTCCATAGTTTGTGCATGAGTTAGGACTTTTAAGAAAACAATAGTTGATTGCATTAATCCTATCCAAGAAGATCATTCTTGAGCTTCGAATAGCATGGAAAACAAAGAAGAATCAACTAAAATTTCAGCTTCGCTTTGCCTTGTTTAATTACTTCGTACAAAGGCGAAAGATGGATCACTCTCAAGCCTCAAGCTGCTGATGTTGGAACTTATTACGTCATTGCATCGAATTATGCTAGACCATTGGAAGGCTCGCTTTTGTTTCTTTCATACAACTACTGAGCTGTTTGCGGCTGGTTTTCTGAATTCCTGCTTGTCACCGAGTGTTTTCTGTTTGTTACTCTATGTATTCCATATCTATGTTAATGGATTTATTGATTCGCCCAAAAAAAAAAAAAAAAACTTAAGAATGAACCTAAACAATCGATAATGAGAAAATTTAATCAGTTATCAACTTCTTCGTCCATTGATCAACTCTTTCAAATTTGTAGGATCACTTTGACAAAATTGACAAGAAAGCCGGCCCACAGCAAACCTAGGAAACAACATATTGATCACTAAAATTCAAAGTTTCTCCCAAGTTATCCTAACAGAAAACTACAAACACAGGAGCAAAGCAATCAAGTAAATCGATAAAGCCATAGCTTAGTTATTCTACTGTCACATGCTCTATATAAGCAGTATATACTCCTTTAGTTGATTGAAGAAATCAATTGAAAAAATCAGGAAACTCCTACCTTGTAATCGTTACAATATCCTAAAGATGGCCAAGCAAAAAGTAGCTTCATTCTTCTCGGCCATTGTCTCAATTCTTAGTACAAATATCTCATTCTCTACTGCTTCATTTCCTACTTTGTTGACTCGTAATTACTAGCAGAAGTCTAGACCAAGACCAACGAAACTAATTGGGTGGAGTACACGGGGGCCTGAGCCTGCCAATATCCCCCCATCTCCATCACCCCAAGCGTATCCTAGTCCTCCACCTTATTCCTACCATGGAATTAAAGGTGGCTATCGACCCTCATGGCTAGCTTATAGTCTCCCTCCCTCCTCAATCCCTACCAAGTACTTCACACATGTGTTTTATGCCTTTATTAGCATTGATGCCTCTACTTACCACTTGTCCATCACCCAACCTGATGATCAATGGATGGGAAACTTTACAGCCACCCTTCAGGCCAAAAAGCCTCCAGCAAAAGCCATCTGGCACCGGTACTTTCTCCACTATGGTTAGTAACCCTCATAATCGTGCTGCTTTCATCAAATCCACTATTGCTACAGCCAGAAAAAATGGTTTTGATGGCCTTGACATTGACTTGGAATTTCCTAACAACCCAGATAACATGTCAAACCTCTCAAAGCTCTTTAACGAGTGGCGTCAGGCTGTTAAGAGCGAGGTTTCCGACTCAGGCAAGCCTCCCCTTCTTTTAAGCGTTGCTGTTTATTTTGCTTCCAGGTTTTTCTTTGATCTGCCTAGGACATACCCTGGTGACGCGATTGCAAAATATCTTGATTTTGTGAATCCTATGTGCTTTGATTATCATGGAAGTTGGGACACTTCTGTAACTGGTGAGCATGCTCTGCTATATGACAAATCTAGCAATATTAGCACAAGCTATGGTATATCATCCTGGATCGAGGTTGGAGTCCCTCCCAAGAAGCTGGTTATGGGAATGCCACTTTATGGAGGAACATGGAAATTGAAGGACCCAAAAAACCATGGTGTTGGAGTACCTGCTGTTTGAGTTGGGCCTGGAGATAATGGAATATTGTTCTGCAAGGACATTGTAACTTACAATGCTGGACATCAGGCCCATGTAGTGTATGATAGGGATACTGTATCAGAATAATCATACTTAAGAACAGATTGGATTGGTTGTGATGGGCCAAAATTAGTGGCAAAGAAGGTTGAGTATGGCATGGCTCATCGCCTTGGTGGTTATTTCTTCTGGGCCCTTGGATATGACATGAATTGGACCCTTTCAACAATTGGTACGTTCTCAACTCGGGCAGTTTCCATATTTTCGACACAGATTCAAGTACCGAATTTCAAAATATTGTAAATTTTCTACTTTTTTTTTTTTTTTAACATAATCAACATTCAAAGCATAGATATGGGCCTCAAACTAAAATTTTATTTGGAGATTCAATTTACTTGTAGTCTAATTTTGTTTATGTTGTATGTGTTCGGAAGCACCAAATGCATGGAAAGGATCACACTAGTAGCACCTGACATCGTAAGTCTGATGAAATATTCACAATTTCATCTGGAGCTTTCACGGAGCATTATTCATTTGGAACTCAAACTGTTTCTTTTCCTTTTTTTTTTTCCCACTTTCCTTCCTTTTATGCTTGATTGCATGTGTTGCAAATAAATTTGATTTGTCAATTATGCATGTCAACTATCATTGGTTTGTAATTTTCAATTCCTTAGACATGCAAGTGCATGTCATGAAAAAGGATATATAAACTTTCAATCCTGTTTCTTGATCGAAATAATTGGAGAACTCAAAGTTTTAATTAGAAGTACTTTTCAACACGATTGATCAATTATCGTTGGTTTATTATATAAAGTATGATTTTCAGGATAACGTAGTTGTGAAAGGCAACAGAAAAAAAAAGATAAAGAATAATTTCCATTTTTATCCGCATAACTGAAATCAAAATCGTCAACCGACATTTATAAATCTCTTTACCTGATAGTAATACTAGTCAAATACAGAGATCAAAGAAGCTTCAATCTTCGTTCACCAAGAGCCCACGCTCTTGAAGTTGCAAAAACATAAACCACGTCAAGTTATATGTCAATTAACCAAATCATCAGGTTATCGAATTTATCTACTGTATATAAATATCATATATTACCTTGTCTCGAGATTTTCCACTCCGTGTCGAAGCTAAAGGCCCAAAAGAAATAGCCACGAATTCCAAGGGCCTGACCGAACCCAATCTTCAATGTTGCTGATTTTGCATCGTCATAGCCAACCCAGGTTGAACCAACATAAGAATATGTTGATACAGTATCCATGTCATGTTTTACCTTGGCACCATTCTTCTTGTTGAACTTCTCTACCTGGACAAATGTCAGCACCCCATGGTCCCTGGGCCTACAGAACTGCAGCCGATCCAATCTCATTAAAATTTGGGTCCTTTAGCAGCCTAGTCCTTCCATAAAGTGGCAGCCCCGTTACCAATTGCTCCTATGCAACCCAGCTCTGATCCATGACCAAAGCCCATAACTGGTAATCACATTACTGTTTGGGTTATAAAGTGCTGCATGGGCTCTGTCTTCGAAGTGTTCCATCCACCATAAAAACCGAAGCACATTGCACTAACCCAATCCCAATTTTGATTAATATAGCGCACTGGGTACATGCGGTAGACTTCATCCAAGAAAAAGTCGACTGAGAAGTAAACTGCCGCTGTGAGAAGTAGAGGAGTTCGATGGGTGGCCTTAGCCTCATAGTTGATAGCTCGCCGCCATTCCATAAATAAAAGGCCCAAATCTTGCATGTTTTTCGGCTTTTAGGGAATTCCCAGTCTAGGTCCATCCCATCAAAACCAAATTTTCGTGCAACCTCGACAGCTGAAGTTATAAAAGCTTTACGCGACTTTCCCTCGGAGCCATGCGGGAAAAAACATGAGGATCAGCACCTCCACCACCAATAGAGAAAAGGGTTTTTGCCGGCGGATTCTTGTGGTGGAGGGTGGCAGTAAAATTTGACAGGAGAAATGCTGTTGGACTTGAGATCTCAAATTTATAGGTGACGTTGCTTGGCATGAGAAAAGCATAGTAAATATGAGTAAACAAGGATGTAGCTATGGCTGATGGTGGGAAAGTTGTCGTCCACGTAGGCCAATAAGCTGCTTTGACAGACGGTGACGACGCCATGACAACAGATCTTGTAAGCATGGTTAAGAAAACAATAAGAATAGAAGAGAACCGAAAACATGTGGTGAAAACCTTCCATCGTTGCTAGAGGGCTCGTATGAAATGATTTTGAGCAAGAGTGTCGAAGAAAGTACATATAGCAATCATCTGGCTAGATAATTAATAGTCAGAAGAACATTTTGAACAATTCTTTTGTTTATAGTTTTGGATGGTTGTGTTTATCCATAACACATAATTTTTAGTCTTTAGATGATCTAGGGAATTCAAAACAGAAGCGGCCAGTACTAACACTACTAGCTACTGCTATCAGAAATGTGGCAATGCTCTTCATACAATGGTGGGTGGGCATCAACTCTCTAGAAAGCCTGACATATCTAATTGAAAATTTGATTTGAAAATGAATTAGGGGTTGTCCAATCTGATTGGAGTTAAGGTTAAAAATGAGAGTATTGGGTAACTTTTCAAGAAAACATTTTAATACTCATGGTGTGTTTGAACTTTATATGATGGCCTTTTGTGTTTGTCTAGCACTAGCGTTTGCTTGTGGAGGGAGATGAATGCGAGAGTGACGCTTGGGACAAGTGGATAAACCAAACCGACTTCCGAAATATCTTTTAATGATTTGCCAATGCAGTTATAAATAATTTTCAGAACTTCAATATGATGATTACGGGTTACGCTTTGATTTTTCAATATCCTGAAAGCTTTCATATAACAATTGTGTGTACTTTATATGCTAAAATTAGGAAAAATTCTGCTTGACTTGGGTTGGGCATGGGCCTGAGCTTGATGAGTTGGGGGCAACAAGGAGCTGCAAGATGAATATAAAGATAGTTCATAATTTTATAAGGCTTGAACATACAAAATTTGGTTCCAACTTCTACGTGGTCTGGGTTTTATACCCTGTAGCTTAAAACAGAAAGAATTTAGTATACAGTACACTTTTTAGCATTACTTTGAACGTGTTTGCGATAACCAAATATATATAAACACTAGTTTTATGCATCCAAATAATTAATTAGCCATGCGGTTATTCAATTTCTTTCCTTGAAATTCAATCGATCCCTCCAAGCCATCCAATTTTCCAAGAAAGCCATACATAGCTTATTGTGTTTAAAAAATTCCCAAGAAAGTCATAGATTCATTAATATCTTTACACGTTTGCATGATTAAAAGAATGGTAAACCATAATTCTTCTACATTATGTTTCCCAAATGCATACCTACACTGTCAATCATCGAGGTACCATTTGGGTTATCGTTGCATCATTGACAGAAAAAACTTTCCTCTTGCCAATGTCTTTACTTTCCTCCCTTTCATCTCTTGTAACTGAAAATGCAGGCTGCTTAGGGGTAGAGATTGCTGTGGTAGTTTCATTCTTTAGGAGTCTAAAAACTTCCACCATGGATGGTCTATCTGCAGGGTTTTCCTGCACGCATAGCAGTCCTACTTGCATGCATCTAATGAGCTTACAAGACGAAGATGAATCATCTAGTGATGCATCAAAAAACTCAGCCCCTCGACCTTGTTTCCACAATTCGTACGCCTGAAATTGTTCAATGTTGTACATTTTTAGCATATTTGTACTACAAAGAGGAAAAAGTGGGTGTGACAAAATAACTTACATATTCAAGAAGATTCAAGTTTTCATTGCAGCCATAGAGACTGGAATTTCTCTTCCCACTTATAATTTGCAGAAGTAGAACACCAAAACTATAAACATCATACTTCATAGAGTATATTCCTTTCTTAACGTATTCTGGAGGAACATAGCCACTGCATTTAAAGAATTAATTAATAACAATAAATATGGATGCAGGGCAAAGGAAGAAAAAGATATGTATCATTTGAGAGCACCTGGTTCACTTACTATGTCCCAACAATTCTGCTGGTGTTTGCTTCAAGTTCATCCTTTTTGAAAAATCTTGCCATACCAAAATCCGATATTTTTGGGTTCATATCATCATCTAATAAAATGTTGCTAGCCTTTATGTCACGATGAATTATTGTGAAATTTGAGTATTCTTGGAGATATAGAAGTCCTCGAGTAACACAATCAATTATTGAAATACGTCTTCTCCAATCTAAGAGATGCTTTTTAACATGATCTTAATCAATTAAATTTATGAACAATTTTAGTCTTTTTTACTTAAAAGTTTAGGATAATTTAATCCAAACATTAATATGGAATAACATGCCATAGAAATGTAGACTTCATCCAAGAAAAAGTCGACTGAGAAGTAAGCAGCCGCCGTGAGAAGTAGAGGAGTTCGGTGGGTGGCCCTAGCCTCATAGTTGATAGCTCGCCGCCATTCCATAAATAAAAGGCCTAAATCTTGCATATCTTTTGGGCTTTTAGGGAATTCCCAGTCTAGGTCCATCGCATCAAAACCAAATTTTCGTGCAACCTCGATAGCTGAAGTTATAAAAGCTTTACGCGACTTTCCCTCTGAAGCCATGCGGGAAAAAACAAGAGGATCAGCACCACCGCCACCAATAGAGAAAAGGGTTTTTGCCGGCGGATTCTTGTGGTGGAGGGTGGCAGTAAAATTCGACAGAAGAAGTGCTGTTGGACTTGAGATTTCAAATTTATAGGTGACGTTGCTTTGCATGAGAAAAGCATAGTAAATATGAGTAAACAAGGATGTATCTAAGGCTGATGGTGGGAAAGTTGTCGTCCACGAAGGCCAATAAGCTGCTTTGACAGACGGTAGCGACGCCATGACAACAGATCTTGTAAGCATGGTTAAGAAAACAAAAGAATAGAAGAGAGCTGAAAATGTGGTGAAACCTTCCGTCGTTGCTAGAGGGCTTGTCATAAATGATTTCGAGCAAGAGTGTCGAGAAAGTACATATAGCAATCATCTGGCTAGATAACTAATAGTCAGAAGAAAATTTTGAACAATTCTTTTGTCTATAGTTTTGGATGGTTGTGTTTATCCATGACACATAATTTTTAGTCTTTAGATGATCTAGGGAATTTAAAATAGAAGCAGCCAGTACTAATACTACTAGCTACTGCTATAAAAAATGTGACAATGCTCTTCGTATCATGGTGGGTGGGCGTCAACTCTCTAGAAAGCCTGACATATCTAATTGAAATTTTGATTTAAAAATGAATTAGGGGTTGTCCAATCTGATTGGCATTAAGGTTAAAAATGAGAGTATTGGGTAACTGTTCAAGACAACGTTTTAATACTCATGGTGTGTTTGAGCTTTATATGACGGCATTTTGTGTTTGTCTAGCACTAGCGTTTGCTTGTGGCGGGACATGAATGCGAGAGTGAAGCTTGGGACAAGTGGATCAGCAAAATCGACTTCCGAAATATCTTTTAATGATTTGCCAATGCAGTTATACATAATTTTCAAAACTTCACTACGATGGTTACGGGTTACCCTTTGATTTTTCAATATCCCGAAAGCTTTCATATAACAATTGTTTGTACTTAATATGCTAAAATTAGGAAATATTCTGCTTGACTTGGGTTGGGCATGGGCCTGTGAGGTGGGGACAACAAGGAGCTCCAAGATGAATATAAAGATAGTTCATGATTTTATGAGGCTTGAACATACAAAATTTGGTTGCAACTTTTACGTGGTCTGGGTTTTAGACCCTTTGTAGGTAGCTTAAAACAGAAAGAATTTAGTGTGCAATACACTTTTTAACATTAATTTGAATGTTTTTGCCATAACCAAATATATATAAACACTAGTTTTATGCATCCAAATAATTAATTAGCCATGCAGTTATTCAATTTCTTTCCTTGAAATTCAATCGATCCCTCCAAGCCATCCAATTTTCCAAGAAAGCTATACATAGCTTATTGTGTTTAAAAAATTCCCAAGAAAGTCATAGATTCATTAATATCTTTACACGTTTGCATGATAAAAAGAATGGTAAACCATAATTCTTCTACATTATGTTTCCCAAATGCATGCCTATACTGTCAATCATCGAGGTACCACTTGGGTCATCGTTGCATCATTGACTGAAAGAACTTTCTTCTTGCCAATGTCTTTACTTTCCTCCTCTTCATCTCTTGTAACTGAAAATGCAGGCTGCTTAGGGGTAGAGATTGCTGCAGTAGTTTCATTCTTCAGGAGTCTAAAAACTTCCACCATGGATGGTCTATCTGCAGGGTTTTCCTGCACGCATAGCAGTGCTACTTGCATGCATCTAATGAGCTTACAAGACAAAGATGAATCATCCAGTGAAGCATCAAAAAACTCAGCCCCTCGACCTTGTTTCCACAATTCGTACGACTGAAATTGTTCAATGTTGTCCATTTTAGCATATTTGTACTACAAAGAGGAAAAAGTGGGTGTGACGAAGTAACTTACATATTCAAGAAGATTCAAGTATTCATTGCGGCCATAGAGACTGGAATTCCTCTTCCCACTTACAATTTGCAGAAGTAGAACTCCAAAACTATAAACATCATACTTCATAGAGTATATTCCTTTCTTAACATATTCTGGAGGAACATAGCCACTGCATTTAATGAATTAATTGATAACAATAATAAGGATGTAGGGCAAAGGAAGAAAAAGATATGATATGTATCATTTGAGAGCACCTGGTTCACTTACTATGTCCCAACAATTCTGCTGGTGTTTGCTTCAAGTTCGTCCTTTTTGAAAAATCTTGCCATACCAAAATCCGATATTTTTGGGTTCATATCATCATCTAATAAAATGTTGCTAGCCTTTATATCATGATGAATTATTGTGAAATTTGAGTATTCTTGGAGATATAGAATCCCTTGAGCAACACTTTCAATTATTGAAATACGTTTTCTCCAATCTAAGAGATGCTTTTTGACAGGATCTGCATCAATTAAATTTATGAACAATTTTAATCTTTTTGGCTTAAAAGTTTAGGATAAGTCAATCCAAACATTAATATGGAATAACATGCCATAGAAATGTACTTAACAATCATACTAGGTAGAATAAATTAAGTATTGCTTACCATAGAGGTAGAAATCCAAGCTTTTGTTTGGCATGAACTCATAAATCAGCATTTTTTCTTCTCTCTCGGTACAAATTCCAACAACTCGAACTAGATTCACATGTTGAAGCTGTGCCGTAAGTGTGACCTCATTTTTGAATTCCTCAAGCCCTTGATTAGAAGTTTGGAAAGCCTCTTCACTGCTATTTCCTGCCCCTTCGGTAACTTACCCTGTCATAGTCCACGTTAGTATGGTTGGTAGTATTTTTCAATAACTCTGTGCCTGTTTGTGGCTTTAAAACCAATCAAATGTTTGATTAAAAATTATTTTGTAAATAATAAAAGACTAGTTTCATTGTTTTGGATGTCCTTCGAATTTCAGAATCTCTTGCTGGTAAGCAGAATGCAGCAAATCCTCAACCACGGCTGAATCTGCCTGGTCATCTCAATTTCATGTCTAGAACATAACAATATTAGAGATGAAGATACTTTTCCAATACCCATGTTCAGATTTTGTATAAGAATATAGACTAATATATAGTATTACCTTGTAGACAGGTCCATATCCACCCTCCCCCAGCTTATTCTCATCTGAAAAGTTATTTGTGGCTGCTTTAATGCTAGTAAAGCTGAAAACTTGGAGATGAGGAGCACCATTGTCATGCTCTCCCTCAGCTGATATTTTGTTTATTATCGAGGATGATGATTTTTTCACAGTACCCAAAACTCCTGCAGCCAAAACCTTGTGGAATTAATTTATGATTATCACCTCTAATCACTGCAAATTCTCAAAATGTCCAATCAGTTACCTTGTGACTTGAATATTTTTGTTTGCAGGTAACAAATGATAGTCCACATCAGTAGAATCGCTGCTGCAATTGTAACCATAACAATAACCAATAATTGATGCTTTGCCCGGTGACTGGTGCCTATTCCATAAGCTGTGAACATTGAAAGGCCTAAGTCAATAGCATTTTTCTGTGTGGAAGCAAAAAAAGAAACAGCTTACTACATGAGAAAGCCCCAAAAGTCAGAATATAACAACTGAGGTAAATGATGTTAATAGACAGATTTTTTTCAAGCCAATGTTTGAAATTTCAGTCTTGTCAAGGAATCGAATAAACAATTAGAAAGAAAAACGAAAGGGTATGATGTTCCATTTCCACATCTTTTTATTAATTTGGTGTCAGTTGTATGATTCTTTTCTAGTGTGGAATTGTATCTCTCTTAGTTGGAATTTGAGTAAAAGAAACTGGTTTAAGTTCAAATATCTTTCAGATAGGAAATGATTTTGACTATTACAAGTCCTGTTTTCAAAAAGGGTTTAACTATGAAACAGAAAAAACTAAAGAACCCGCAGAATTAAAGGGAGATAACCATCTTACCAGCTTGAGAAAGCACCCAATTATCGTCATTGGAGAGTTGAAAGGCATTGTAACCGAGTAGCCCCCTCGCCTCGGCATAAGAAACCTTAGCTTTAATGGCTTCCACATCATCAAAATTGATCCAAATCGATCCAATTTTGCAAAAATTGACCACATAAGTAGAATTATACAAAGATTCAACGCCATAACCGTAATTTTGAATGAATGATTTGATTGACTTAAAGCCCATTGAACCATCAATTATGACAGCCGGCCCTGAAGCTGGTGAACCAATGTCATTGTCACCAGATTTAACAAGTGTCCATGCAAAGCCATGGTAAGGCAAACCTAAAACTAGTTTGTCAGCAGAAAATCCTTTGTGTAACCATTCCTTTATACTATCATTATGTTAAGAAAATGGGGTCCAATCTCATGTAAGTGATTTTGGATCAAGTAAAAGTCATGAGCTTTAATCTTTTATTTTACATAGAGCCCTAGCTACTTAATAAAAAAGAGGTGGGGTTGTTTTAAGGGTGTGTCGAAAACCAAGTAGAGAAAAAAAAGTCAAAAAAAGCAGAGAAAAAAGAAAGAGAGAGTTGGTTGAACGGAAGTCAATCCATGGTCCGATTGAGTTGAAATCTTGTCAGGAGGTTTATGATTCAGAGTTCTACATTCTGAACGGTGAAGATCGGATTTGAAGCTCTCTAGGAACAAATCCAATGTGTATTTGTTGAGTCACTTATTTGGTGAGATTTCTCCAATTGTTTCTCTAGTTGTTGTTTAGCTCTAGTTTTAGGTAGAAAAAAACTTTGTATACCTATTATTTGATAGTGAAAATTTTTTTGGTGGTCCGTGATGTTTTCCCTCTACACTGGAGGGTTTTTCACATAAATCTTGGTGTGCTTTATTTTTCTTACGTTTTTTTATTATTGATTGTTGTCTATTGCTTCTGTATTGTTGTGATTATTACTTCAGGAGTAACAAGTGATATCAGAGCGATGGTTATTTTAAGACATCAATACAAAAGCAACCCAAGATAGAAGTAAATTTTGTTTGAGATCATGGAGCGTGATACATGTTCCATGATAAAATTAACAGCATCGAATTATTCAATTTGGAAGCCTATGATAGAGGATCATCTATATTGCAAAGATTTGTATGAGCCAGTATTGGGTGATTCGACTAAACTCGCAGATATGAAATATGAAAGTTGGAAAAAACTAGGTAGAAAAATACTGGCTACAATAAAAAAATGGGTTGATATCAGCATGTTCCATCATGTAGCGCAGAAGTCAGATGCTCGCATTGTTTGAAAAAAATTGACAGCATTGTATGAGAAAAACATGTATGAATAAAGTTATGCTTGTTAAAAAGCTTACAACTTTACAGTACAGGGATGGACGATCTGTTACAGAGCACTTGAGTAATTTTTAAGATATATTTAATCGGATGACTACTATGGTGCTTAAGATGGATGATGAAATGAATGTGTTATTTCTTTTGAGTTCATTGCCAAACAACTGAATACTCTAGTTGTGACTGTTCTTAATTTAGCTCCTGATTATAAGGTGACATTGGAGATGGTAAAGGATAATATACTTATTGAAGAAGCAAGACGAAAAGATATAGACCCTGAAAATCAAGCTCTGATCACAGAGAACAGGGATAGAAACATTGACAGAGGTCAGGACTCAAAAGGCCGTGGTAAGTCTAAACATAGATTCAAGTCTAGAGGTAAAGTGAAGTATTTCTATTATGGTAAGGCATGTCATATAAAATAAAACTGTAAAATCTTGAAGTAAGAGCGAAAATATGAGAAAGATAAGAGTTCAGATGATGGTAATGTTATAGCAGTGAGTTTAAATAGTGATTCAATTACTTTGATTTGTACATATGGTGATTGTAATCATGTTAGTGATCCCGACATTGAGTGGATAGTTCACACAGGATCGGTATATCATTATATTCCTAAGAGAGAATTGTTTACAACTTATAAAGCAGGAGACTTTGGTTGTACTAAGATGGAAAACAAGAGTGTGTCGTAGATTATTGGGATTGATGATATTGTTGTACAAACGAATACATGCTACATGTTGACTTTGAGGGATGTCAGACATATTTTAGATATGAGAATGAACTTGCTTGTTATTAATGTCTTTGATAAAGAGGGATATGAAAGTCGATAAAAGAATGGACAGTGAAAGCTTCTCAAAGGATCTATGGTAGTTGCAAGAGAAAAATTATACTGCACAATGTATAAAAGATGGATACAATTGAACGGTAACCAAGTAAATGCCATTGAAGATGATGCTTCAGCAAACTTGTGGCATAGGAAGCTGGCACACATGAGTGAAAAAAGGTTACAGGTTTTGGCAAAGTAGTCTCTTATTCCCTTGACCAAAGGTATATTTCTCGATTCATGTGATTATTATTTGTTTGGTAAGCATCATAAAGTTTTTTTTCGTAAAAGTTCTTAGAAAAAAGAAAATAGATTGGAAATAATTTATTCTGACGTATGTGGTCTCATTAAGATTGAGTCATTAGGTAGTAGTAGATATTTTATACTTTTATTGATGATACTTCACGTAAGACTTGGGTATATATGTTAAAATACAAAAGTCAAGTACTGCAGTATTTTCAAAAATTTTATGCCATGGTTGAAAAGATGACAGGGTTACCTTTCAAGTGTATTCGAACTGATAATGATGAAAAATACACATCTAAAGGCTTTGAAGAGTATTGTTCAAAACATGGGATCAGGCATGAGATGATAGAATTTGAAACACCGTAACATAATGATATAGCTGAAAGAATGAATTATACCATTATGAAAAAAGTCAGATGTATGTTGAGGATGGCAAAATTACCAAAGCCATTCTGAAGTGAAACAGTCAACACAGCTTATTACTTACTTAACAAGTCACTATCAGTTTCTTTAGACTTTGATATTTCAGAAAGAGTGTGGACAGGGAAAGATACTTCATACTCTTACTTGAAAGTTTTTAGGTGTAAAGCATTCATGTATGTGTCGAAAGAGCAGAGATCAAAGCTTGACAGTAAAGCCACACAGTGTGTGTTTGTAAGATATAGTGATGAAAAATTTGACTACAGGGTATGAGATCCAGTAAAGAGAAAGATAGTCAGAAGCAGAGATGTGGTCTTCATGAAAAAAAAACTATAGCAGACTTTGAGAAAAATGAAAAGACTACACGGGTTACTGTTGAGTGTGATATTTCAACATCGACAGAGATTTTACAAGAAAAAGCCACAGATGGTGGAAATGAGCAAGAAACAAAATTTAGGGATATGAATGAGCCAGTCACAGTTGGTGATGAGTCAGATGTAATTAATTTTGAGTAGAAAAAGCAATCTTCTCTACATGAGAATGTTGAACAAGGGGAGCTACCTTCGACATCAAGTGATATAGAGTCTCAGCCTAGGAGATCTACTAAAGAGCGAAAGTCATCTATCAGGTATCCAAGTTCATATTTTATTTTAGTTACTAGTAAAATAGAACTAAAAAGCTTTCAAGATGTGCAGGCTACTTCGGATAGAGAGCACTGGTTAAAAGTAATGAAAGAAGAGATGAAATCATTACGAAATAATGGTACTTATTATCTTGTTAAGCTTTCAAAAGAGAAGAGGTCATTAAAAAATAAATGGATGTTTAAGTTGAAAAAAAGATGGTAACAAACTAGTGATGTACAAAGCTCGATTGATAGTAAAAAGTTTTTCTCAGAAATCAGGCATCGATTTTGATGAGATTTTTACTCCAGTTGTAAAGATGAGTTCTATTCGAGTGGTACTGAGATTAGCAGCTAGTTTGAATCTTGAGTTTGAGCAACTTGATGTTAAAAGTATATTTTTACATGGTGATTTGTAGGAAGACATTTATATGAATCAACCTGAGGGTTTTGAAGTGAAAGAAAAAGAGCACTTAGTTTGTAAATTAAAAAAAAAGCTTGTATGGCTTGAAACAAGCTCCGTGACAGTGGTACAAGAAGTTTGATTCTTTTATGGTGAGTCATAGCTATAAAAAAATAGCAACGGATTCTTGTGTGTATATTAAATAATTTTTTAATGGTAACTTCATTATCCTATTATTATATTTTAATGATATGTTGATTATAGGATAAGATGCTAGTATGATTTGTAGGTTGAAAGAATAATTATCTAAGTCTTTTGATATGAAAGATTTAGGTCCAGCAAAGCAGATTCTTGGTATGAAAATTATCCAAGATAGAAGAGCTGGAAAGCTGTGGTTGTCATAGGAAAAGTATGTTGAACGAGTGCTTGGTAGATTCAACATGCAACATACCAATTCAATTAGCAGTCCACTTGCCAACCATTTTCATCTAAATAAGAAATCTTATACAGTGTTTAAGGAAGAGCAACTAGCTATGTCTAATATTCTTTATTCTTTCGTAGTCAGTTCTTTAATGTATCTTATGGCTTATACAATACCTAACATTGCTCATGCAGTTAGTGTAGTGAGCAAATTTTTTTCTAATCCGAAAAAAATTCACTGAAAAGTAGTGAAATGAATTTTTAGATATTTGAGGGGTACCTCAAAAATTATGCTTGACTTATGGAGTTTCACAACCAGTTCTAAAAGGATTTACTGATGTTGACATGACAGGTGATCTTGATAGTAAGAAATCTACTTCAGGGTATTTATTCACTTTTACAGAAAGAGCTGTATCTTGGTAATCTAAGTTACAGAAGTGTGTTGCTTTATTAACTACAGAGGCTGAGTATATTGCAACAATCAAAGTATGTAAAGAATGCTTTGGATGCAATATTTTTTTCTTGAATTGAGGTTGAATCAAAAAGAGTATGTGATATTTTATGATAGTCAGAGTGCTTTAGATTTGAGTAAGAATACCATGTACCATGCTAGAACAAAACACATTGATGTTAGATACATTGGTTATGTTCAGTAATTGAAGAACAGCAGATGTTGTTAAAAAGTTCATACTGATAAGAATGTAGTAGATATGTTGATTAAGATACTTCTTAGGAAAAAACTTGAATTTTGTAGTAACTTGGTCGGAATGAATTCCTTGGCCAAGGTAAGTTTCAAATGAAACTACTATGGTGATGAATCTCCTCCTAATGAGGTTGAAAAGGGAGATTGTTAGAAAAATAGGGTCCAGCCTCATGTAAGTGATTTTGGATCAAGTAAAGGCCATGGGCCTTAATCTTTCATTTTACACAGAGCCCTAGCTACTTAATGAAAAAAAAGTGAAACTGTTTTAAAGGTGTGTAAAAAACCAAGTAGAGAAAGAAGAAAAGCCAAAAAAAGCAGAGAGAAAAAAGAGAAGAGAGAGTTGGTTAAACAAAAGTCGATTTGTGGTTTGATTGAGTTGGTACTTTATCAGGAGGTTTATGATTCAAAGTTCTACATTCTGAAAGGTGAAGATCGGGTTTGAAGCTCTCTAGAAACAAATCCAATGTG